TGTACGTTCATTAAAGCGGGTGTCGATGCCCGGACCGGCGGTTGCGCATTGCATAAATCAGCAAAGGGAATGCGGCCAGGACGCCCTAATGCGCTTTTGGTGTCGACTGATAGCTCACCCCCCTCTTGAAACTGCCTCAAATCGGCTCTCCGCGCCATAATATCCATCACTGATTTTCTTGCGGCCATTCCAAAAATTAAAGGGGATCGCATTGCCAACTACAGTTGACAACTTTTATCTTAGTGTTTGTCTTCATTCTTAAATTCTAAGGTCTTTTCATTGCTCTTACAGAAGACGGTTGGTTTTTTTCTACTCCTTTCAATTGAAGTGTTTAAGAAAAAAAAACAACTTTTTTTTAAATTCTTTCCTTTAAAAATTCCGTAAAAATACTATTTTCACCTCAATAGTAATATTGAATATTTTAATAAATAGTTCGAAGAAACAAATACCTGCTAAAATATCTTTAAAACTTATTTTATTATTGATCCCTAGCCCGTTTCTTGTTACGTATTTTATTGCAACAATAATCGAAACAAGATAGGTTATAACACACAGGATGTGTATAAAATTAAATTTGAAAAATAATAAAATACACTCATATCATTTGGCTTTAAATTTACTTTGTCGTAAAATATCTGGCTATATATAGTAAATGGACATCAGAAACCCTATAAAATTACACTCAAGCACAGCTCATAATCGTAATATAAGCCCAGATTGCATATTATAAATTGTATCTCTGATTGGTTTTAGGTTCTTAACATATACAATATAAAAATATACTTAATGTTTTAACAATATTTTGTTTAGTATTATAAAAATTAATTTTGTATATGAACGAATAAAGAGTCAAATTTATAGTAGGTGCATGTGGAACTTAGAAAAAAAACAGCAGAACATGATATCTTGAGGACAGAAATGAAATACCTCATTGTTAATAAAAGGATCACCGTTTCTCTCCACTGAACATAGGAAACTCATAAGGACTGATAATTTACACTGATATTATGTGAAAACGTGATTCTTCACTAGTCTAGTCAGATTTTGCAATGTTATGACAGCTACAGCTTGACTTACAAAGTAAAATTAAAAGTGTGAATAAATGGTTTCTTAGAAACCATTGTCACTATTATCATATATTTTCAAGGAAGACATATAAACTAATATGTACTGGGTTATATTATGACTTGTGATTTGTCAACTAGGGTTGATCGTTTAACTAGACCAAAAAACAGCAATTAATAGTATTCGGGATATCTTGACTATTGTGGTATTTTTGACACTTTCAGTTTCAGTTTCTACTTTTTGATTGAATAAATTAAAGATAATGTATAAAAAATACAAATTGAGAAAATGTATCCATATATAAATTAATTAACGGATAAAAATCTAAAAGTTCCTCAAATGAAAATCCTCCACATAATATAATTTTTGATAAAATTATTCTTTGCCTCATTTTCAGCAAAGACGGTCTCCGCATCTCTACACTCTCCGTACGAAACACAGCAGCTTTAACCTGCTGTTTTGAGCTGGTATTCTGTGAGAATGTGATTCTTCCTCTGATCGAGCCGACACAATTGTACTACAATCATAATATTACTGCAGCTCTACAACGAAAAGTATCCGTGGGCGTAAACCATGATGTGATCAGAATACGTAAAATAAAAATCGAACGATGGGAAAAATAACAACGGATTTTTATGTTCATTGATATTGAAGTTAATTTTATTTTATTTAGAACTACCCTCTTCCCTCCCTGCGGTTTCACCTGGGTAGGATATATTATTGAGACGATTTATATTTAATTTAAGATAATCAAAGACTACTTATTTCGCCAATTTTTCGTTTTTTGAAGTGAAAACTTCTTTAGCATCGTTGTGATTTTATACTCTATGAAACGAAAAAGCGACAGTAAAAAGAGACAGACACATAAATTCATAAGTTTAATGTAGGAGAAAATGAGATAGAAAGCATTATAGATTATAGCTCAATGCTCGCGAGAAAAAAGTCGTAAACGCCGCCGAAACAGCGTCGCTTAGGCGTTTTGTTCAACAAGGTACGAAGGTACGTCAACTTTGTAATAGGTAAAATTGATATAAATCTTTTTATAATTAGTGAGTATGATATAAGGTAAATCGGAAAGAGTAATATAATATCTGCGTGTGATATATTATGTATATGTATAGATGTTATAGATATTATAGATTACTCAAAAATTAGCCAGTATCACAAAACGGCAATTTCATAAGTAAGGCTAAATATCATTAAAAGTTTGTAAAATATTTTAAAAGATGATTTAAGAGTATTATATTAATTAAATAGTTTATACATATTATTTCGCATTATTGTAGAATATTCATAACTTTACTAATACTAAAAAATCGTAGAGCTGATGTGCTATCAAAATGTTGTATTTTACCATCCTTTAATAGTAAATTATTTACAGATGCAATAGTAGGTACATCCCAAGTTCTACAATTATGCTAATTCTAGCTGTTTTGCTTTAAGGTGAGACGCAGAAAAGTAAGCATAATGTACCGAGATCATCAGACGACTGATGAGCAGTAAAAGGAAACCTTAATATTTGGTTCAAAACATTTAATTTTGTTTGAACTGTAATAAGAACAATAAAATACCCTGACCAGTGATGGGGAACAGAATCGAAGGCGCGAGACATCTGCTACTGCGATTGCTAATCACTTCAATCCATATAACTGAATAAGCCTGAGGATCCATATTAAGCAGTAAACTCGGGCTTTAATAAACAAGAAGAATAAGATTACGTATATATACTCGAAACAGCAAAATTTGTGAAAAATAACCCTGAGATGTGTTGAACCATGCTTATAACCGTTGCAGATTTCGATCAATTATATGTTGGAGACATAATCAAATTCAAACCTTTAAGGAATCCAGATAAATTAGTCATTAATAAATTATCAAACAGTTTATTTTCGTAATAATTGCTATGCAATGCGCATAAAAATATTTAACGCAATAGTTAGTAACATAAAATTACAACCAAGGAAGCGTTTCGGAAACAAGCTGAAAAAGTGTCCAGTTAATAAATAACTTTATTTGGTTAGTGAGTTATTGGAACAACATTATCTAAATTTTGATAAAATTTAGACGATTTTTTTAAATAATAGTATTTTGACAATCATATATTTTACAATGTAAGATAAAATGATAAATATTAATGCTGTTATAGTGCAAATAGTATAAATTGTTTTGTTTCTTAAGTTTCACTTTCTTATTTTTGTTAAAGTACTATCCAATATCAGTATTTTTTGGTTTTACTTCATAATCTACTAAGCAATACTTAATATTTTTATAAATCTATAATTTCCTTCACCAGCAATGGTTAATGCATTGTACTATATTTTTATAACTGTAAAACACACATATATCAAAAAAAAATCATTTAGCACCAAATGTGTGTGTAATTTGTCTTAATTTAGGATAGATTTCAACCTTTTATTTCTTCGAAAATAATTTAAATTGTATTTTAAACTGGCAACCATCCTCGGCTTCGCCTTGGCCCCTTAATGTTAATTAATTGTGTAATATATATGTATATATACTGTTCTTTTTTTCAAAAAAAGTACCGCTGAGTTTCTGTCTGAATCTTCTGAGGACAGATTTAAGATAACCAAAGACAATTTGGCAAAGACAATCATTCGTTTTTCAAAAGAAAAATTTCCAAGTTTCATAGATAAATTATAGCCTAGAACCTTGATCAATACTGGCACAGTTCTCTATCTATTAGTGAGGTTTCATTATAATTACGGTTCAGCCATTCCAAACAAGTGTCCGGCGAAACAGACATACAGACAGATAGACAGACAGACATACAATTTTTAAATAATTATTCATGTCTTAACGATATGCAAATATTAATTAATTAAATACTATTTAGATATTACAGATATACACTTCAATTGTAAAAGAGTGTATGAAGAAAGAAGGATGTGTGTCCTTCAAGTACACTTTAAACAGCCGTTAACAGAAACAGAAACTTTTTTATGCAATATGGATTGTAAACAATACTTATTGAAAGTCACTTTTTTCATTTACCACTGGTTCGCAATAAACACCTCTGTCCTGAGAAGAAGCAGCAAGAAACTTAGCAGGACAATTTTTTTACCGATAGTAATGAAATTTGACAGAAAATTCGATTATATCGTACATAGTAGGGCATAATTTACACGCCTGTTTTATAAATCATTACTTACACGCGATCTGATTCGGCTTCCCACGGGTGATTTTTTGGATCTCGACAATATATGCATACAAATCAATCAAACCGTCCTCTTGAACCATTCTGTTTATGGATGAAAGCCGCATCTAAATCCGTTGCGTAGTTTAAAAAATCTAAACTTACAGACGGGGGGAAGCGTTGTTTAATACTATGTAGAGTAGAGAAGAGACGACTAAGTTTAATTTTCGCCCAGCAAAGCGAGCGGTTAACAGATAGTTATTGTATATAAATGCATGAAACTACATATTGTTCTTCGACTCTATGCATATCCGCTTAGCAATATAATTATCAGTATCGTTATCATAATTGTAACTTTCCTTTTAGTATAGTAATCAGGAAACATTTTTAAATTTAATTAACTTTTAATTTAAACATGTCTTACGAATTACGCAAAATGAAGGTTTCAAGCAATCTTTGCAAGGTTTAAGAATGAATGTATGAGATATCATTACGAGACACAACTTATCGTTAATTTAGAGGCTCCGATTAGACTCGCAAGCCGACATACGCTAACGAGCATTCGTTTAACTTATTTTTATTTTAACAGCAGTAGGGTGCCGATGTTTTGTCCTTTGCCGACGATTGTGCAAATTTAATTGGATTATTCTTTTAACATTTTTTTTTTACTTAAAACCATTTGTACTTGTTAAAAAACCTTTTGCATAGAAAATATGTATGTAAATATATTAAAAATATCATAATTTTAATAATAAATAACAACACATAAAATTTTATAAGGTTATATAACATTTACCTTTGTTGTAGTAGACTGCAATGGCGTTCCTGATGATACGGCGCAAATTTCGACTTCGTATCGTTCAATACCTGCTTCTCGGTCCAAGGAAACTGCTGTAGAAAGGATTCCTAATGAGGAATCAATGTCAAATAGTCTATCCACCTGCCTTCCATCACCAGTCACATTGACAATGTAATATTCTAAAGCTGACTTAAAGTTATTGGTCATATTTAAAATGGCAGTTCCAGGAGGTTCATTTTCAGCAACAGAAACAATGCCCACATTTGTCCATATTATTTCTTCTAATTCTGTTCCTCCCATTATAACCGTTAGATATGTTTCTGTACTTCGTTGTTCACTTAACACAGCCTCATCTGTTGCTTTGATAACAAGATTCCATCTGGCCTCGGGGATTGCCGGTGGGTAACGTAAAATTAAGGCGCCATTGCTTCTATGTAAATCAAAAATATCATTTCCGCCATGCATAAGTTTGTACGTTACAAGTCCATTAGTCCCTGAATCTAGATCTCGAGCTAACACGTTCATGATGAAAATACCACGTCCTAAACTTCTACCTAATCGTTCTGCATTAATTACAGCGGCATTCATCGAAACAAATACTGGCGCATTGTCATTAATATCTTCAACTATAACTGTTACTAATTTTTCTGCTGAAAGTCTTGCAGAAGCCGGTTCAGCTCTATCATAGGCGACAACAGTTATACGAAATGTATCAATACTTTCTCTGTCAATAGGCAATAATGTGTGTATGACTCCTGTTATGTTATTTATTGCGAAGTGTCGTTTTCTATCATTCGGATCTTGATGTGTGATAGAATAATAAACTTTTCCGTTTAGTCCTGAATCTGGATCTTCGGCAGTGACTGTAACTATAGGAGTATGGATTGGAATACCTTCCCTAATTTGTCGTACAATAGCTGTGTTTGTAAATACAGGTGCATTATCATTTGCATCAATCACATTCACAGTAAATGGAATATTTGATGATAAACTTGGACTCCCATTATCCGTAGCAGTTATATTTAAGACATATGTCGTTAGATCTTCATAATCTAAATGTTTATGCAGGAAAAGTTCACCAGAGTAACTGTCAATGAAGAATGTTTCTTTCCTATTTCCTGAAGTGATTGCAAATAATATCTCATTATTTATACCTAAATCAGCATCGTTTGCATGGAACTGAATAATTTTCTTATTAATTGGTTCGGTCTCTAAAACTGACACTTTCATTTGTGTTTGTGTAAACACCGGTGCATTGTCATTTTCATCAAGGACTTCAATAGAAATTGTAGTAGTAGCAGACAGACGAACAGTCTGGCCTGAGTCATGGGCCAAAACAGTGAGATAATATCTATCTACACTTTCTCTGTCAAGAGGTTTATTGATAAACAACTGCCCTGTAGCCTCGTCTAAAGAGAATTTTTCCATTTCATTGCCTCCTACTAATTTGTAATAAATATCACCATTCAGTCCTTCATCCACATCAGATGAATACACTCTCATAATTGAAGCTCCTACGGTAGCACCTTCAGATACCTCTACTTTATACGGAATCCGAGTAAAAACTGGCGCGTTATCGTTAACGTCTGTGATATAAATAGTAACTCGAACGGAATCTGTCAATTTTATTTTACCATTGTCACTTACAGTAACAGTCAATGTTATGTAATTTTGACCAGTGTTTTGAGCTAAACTTTCTCGGTCAAAAGACTTCAATGTTCTGATAAATCCATTTCTTGAATCTATTCTAAAATCATTTTGAGCGATTGGCAAGCTGAATGTTAACTCAGCATTTCTTCCAACGTCTTTATCTATTGCAGTTAATTTTCCAACAAATGTATCTGGTGGCTCATTTTCTTTTATTTTAAAAATAAATGTAGTGTTTGTGAATTGGGGGCTGTTATCATTTTCATCCAATACGTGAATAACAACAGGTACTTGTGAAGATCGCGGAGGTTTGCCATTATCTGTTGCTACAATAGTTAAAGAGTAATAGTCTCTTTCTTCTCTATCTAATGTGCTTTTGACGTAAATGTAACCATCGGGAAAAACTCCAAATTTTCCATCTGCATTACCTTCGGAAATATAATATGATATTCTACCATTAGGGCCTAAATCTGCATCGGAAGCGGCTATTGCAAAAAACCTAGTATTTACTAAAGTAGATTCCAATAATGATGTCTCATACGATGTGTGATCAAATACTGGCGTATGATCATTCACATCTTTTATCACTATATTTATGGTATGTTTAGTAGCAAGAGATGGATTTCCGTTATCAGCAGCTGTTACTTCTAGTGAAATTGAACTACCCGGTTCACTAGTTATAGCTTTATTCAAGTATATAACCCCCGTTGTCTCAGAAATGCGGAAACTATTATCTGGATTATAACTTAAAGTATATGTTATTGTTCTATTAGGGCCAGAATCACGGTCTGTAGCTCGGGCAAAATAAACTTCCTGTCCAACTGCCATATTTTCTGGTATATTTATTTCATCTTTATCTTCTATAAATATTGGATAGTTGTCATTTACGTCTAATACTGAAATATTTACTGTTGTAAGTCCAAATGCAAGCTTACTTCTCGCCATGACTCTCAAACGATATGTCATTTTATCTTCACGGTCTATATAAGATTCTGTTGATATTACGCCGCTTTTTTCATCAACTTTAAAAATATGTTTAAAATCACCTTCTATAATGTAATAAGATACAGGGTCACCCAACGACCTTACGTTAATTTTACCTACATAACGACCAGTTTGTACCTTTGATAATCCATCATCTTCAAGAATCTTAAAGTTATAACCATCATAATTTTCAAAAACTAGATTCTTTAGCTGTGATGATTTCATTATTTCTACAGTAGCATCTTCAACAGCACGTCTATTTCCTTTATCTCTACATGATATTTTCAATAAAAACAATGACTTTATGGCTTTATGAAAATCTTTTTGTAAGATAATATTGCCAGTCAAAGGTTCAACATCGAAATATTCATCACCCCCGCTTTCCAATTTGTAAATTACTTTTGCATTATCTCCCTCATCGAAGTCCATAGCTTTAACTTGAAGTATTTTGGATCCAGGAGGCAAATTTTCATCAACTTTCTCAAGATACCTCTGAGGATAAAAAAATGGATCGTTATCATTAACATCAAGAACTTTTAAATATATTTTAGCCGTTGATGACTGAGGAGGATATCCTTGATCTTTAGCAAGTACTTGTATTTCATACACTGATATTCTTTCCCTGTCTAATTCGATTACTGTACTTAGTTGTCCAGTGATTGGGTCTAATAAAAATGTGTTCGGATATTTTCTTTCAATACTAGAAGGCAAATAATACGAAACAGAACCATTTGTTCCTTGATCATAATCAGATGCTGTTAATATAAGAATATCTTTTATGGGCTTAATATTTTCGTGTAGAGTTGCATTTATTACAAATTGTGGAAAAGAAGGTGCTTCGTCGTTTTCATCTAATATGGTTATTTTCAATCTCGTATATGCCCATTTAGGATTGGGTCCTCCATCTCTAGCTGATACATTAAGCTCTACTGTGCCTTGTATTTCACGATCTAATATCGACTTTGTTGTTACTAAGCCAGTCAAATGGTCAATAGAGAACCATTGGTGCTGGTTTCCATCATAAAAATCATAATATATTTCAGCATTTACTCCCGTATCTTCATCAGTAGCAGTGATACCGGCAACGTAAGTACCAGGAGGTGCAAGCTCGCTCAACACAGCCAAATACTCAGACTTTTCAAAAACAGGCTCATGATCATTTACATCATTGACATGTATTACTAAAAACGAAGTAGATGTACGGGGCGGGACGCCTCTATCAGTGGCAACTACTGTTAAATTATATTTGCTTATTTCTTCCCTGTCTAAAATGCCGTTAACATGAACAATGTGAACACTGGAAGAATTCTCTAGGCGGAAGTGATTAAGCTCATTTCCAGAAACGATTCGAACACTAGTTATTCCATTCAACCCAGCATCTAAATCTGTTACAGTAATCGCAGCTACTAAGGATCCGTTTTTTGCATTTTCATCTACAGTAGCAAAATTTGCTGTAGAAGGAACATACGTAAATGTTATAACAGGATCGTGATCATTAGCATCAATCAAATTAACAGTGACGTAAGTACGTGCATCTTGCCTAGGCACACCATGGTCTTTAGCAATAACAGTTAGCACACAAGTCATATTACATGTAGCATTACTGCAATACTTAGGACAAGTTAATTTTTTAAGTGTCGTTATCACACCTGACTCAGGATCCACTGCAAATTGTTTTTCACTATCAGCTACTTCATAAGTGATCTTGCTATTATCACCTAAATCACTATCCGTTGCAGTCACTTTTAACACTACTGTTCCAGGTGGTACACTTTCATTTAGAGATACCGAAAAGTCACTTTGATCAAAAATAGGTGGATTATCATTAACATCTAAAATAGTAACATTAACTTGAAGATACCCGTATTTAGGAGGGCTCCCGCCATCCCGTGCCGAAATATTTAATATGTAAAAATCATTAGTTTCACGATCCAATTTTCCTGTCGTTTCTAAATGTAAATATGATGTCTGTCCACTTGGATTAACAGTAACATTCAAACGGAATTTCCCTTCGTTGTCACCATCAACTATTCTATAGTCGTTAGTTATCCCATTCTCCCTTAAGTCTTTATCCGTTGCTGCATCCAAAAGTAACTTTGTTCCAGCGGCAGCGCTTTCTGAAAACGCTACAGCAATGCTTGGTTCAGGGAATTCTGGATAGTTATCATTTACATCCGTTACTCTTATTCGTACCTCTATTGGATATGTTGGTTGACTTGACAGTACAACAAAAGCGTAACGGTCCACGCTTTCTCGGTCCAAAATTACATTACTCTTAATTTCTCCGGAAACTGGATCAAGAGAAAATTCTTTAGGTGGTTCATTAAAACGATAGGTAAACCCGGGTTTAATGGGGATTCTTCCAACGACGGTTCCCACAGGCTGAGCTTCAGCTATTTTAAGATCTACACCGGTGTCAACAGCACGGGACTGCATCTGTTCGGCGGCGGCGCCAGCGCCCGCGCTGGTGAACAGCGCCAGCGCGACCAGCACCACGTGCCACCGCCCCATGCTGATCATGATACTGACAAAAACATCGCAGAGTTTGTTCCTCTTCAGCAAAAGATAACGTCCTGGAAGAGTCGCTGTGTCCCGTTCGCGCAGACTCGCGCACTCACTCGCCTCAGGTATGCAACATGGCCGCAACGGCCTGTACGAGCACGAATATCTCACGGGAGAGCGAACGGCCGTTGCGCCTACGCTGTCACAATCATTCGTAAACACACGTGACACACAATATCTCCACTAGTTCATACCAATTCCGTCTGTTAAGTCACAATACAAACACTTAAAGAACTCTGTATCTAACTATATAACGTTTATCACTATTTCAAAACACTTCTCAGTCAAAATCGTGTTACGTTAACATAAAATGTATTACGTACGCGGCATGCGGGCAGCGTTACGGTTCGCGCGGTACTAGCGGGCGGAGGCTTTCATGACGCCCCGGCCCCGCAACCTGCCCGTGTCGCGGTAACCCCGTCCCGCAGCTTTTAAAGCTTCGCCTATAGCTGCGTGATCACGATGCCAAGATAATGGCCGCCTAAGGATTCCACTATTTATTGTTCGATGCTAGTCGCTCGCCGTTCCAAGAAAAAAATGCTTAAGACGCAGGTACTTAGGGAAACTTCGGTTTCGTTTTTTTATCTTGTTATAAGTAATAATATAAGTAAGAAAAAAGATAAGTATATGAAATCATCTGCTGAACGAAATTCAAATTGTATAAACGTTTAAGTCATTAAAAAAATAATTACACATGATTTATTAACGTTTGCAAGAAACCCGTTGAAGTCTTTTCTTGGCACAGAATCGATTCTTAGAGATATTAACAAAATGACAACTAAAAAGAATGCGCAGTTTGTTGTATAACATGTACTTTTATTTCAATTTAATTTTAATGAGAATTAGTTTTACACTAAAAATGTACATTACGTAATTTAGTTGCGAAAGCTCTCAACTTTCCTCATTAACAATTAACCGTATTCGTTGTGACGTTTACGAGATAAGAGAAAGGTTTGGTTGCAGATGACAGAGATACTAGGAGAATCAAACACAACCAGGACCAAAAATCATCAATTTTTTCTGTAGCAATGTTGGTACCGGATGAGTTTTCAACCAAAAATTCACGACGTAACATAAAGGTACTTCGACTCTTGAGCATAGGCGTTATCACCACGTAGTTAATACTAATTATTTACGAGTATACCGTAACCGTTACAGTCTAAAATCATTAAAAAAAACTATTTTTTATTTTTTTAGTTACTAGGAAGACGCTGCTGTCCTGGATTTTCACATCAGTCGCCTTTTACGACATCTACAGGATGGGATACGACGATGTGGGCTATATTTACACCGTCACTATACGATCATTATGGGTATACGGCCGTAATATTGAGTTTACGTAAATTGAGTTTACGTAATTTTTAACGAAGATTTATTTTGAAATTTTACTAATGTCAAAATCTACTAATGGTTCATAAAATAAAATTTGTAAAAAAGAATTGACGAGAAACTTCGACATGCTAATATAAAGCGTGTTAAAAATACACGCTTTATATTAAATTTAGTTGTTGTATGTATGAATGAAAAATTCTGTAATTTAATTTTCATCCACTTCCCGAGGTCTAAATATTTCGAAATTTAACAAACCTTGTATTCTCACTAGGATCATCACAGCTCATAATCAATGCGTTTTGTTTGGGTTTTCCTTGAACTTATAATGTAATACAAACACTTTATATTATATTAACCTGTGTGTACCTATATGTATATAAGAAATTTTATAGTTCAGTTTTCACTTACTGCCGGTAGTCTAAATAATGTGCAATTTTGCATACGTATATAAAACTGATCACAATACAATAATTTCCAGTCTATGACCTTCTTAAAACGATCCTCACAGCTCGTTTTCTATGGTTATTTTAAAGTTTCATAAGCTGTAATATTATTTTAACGAGTTTTTATTAACTTAACATGTATGTAAGTGTGAAATATGAATAATGTACTGACAATTTATAATTCAGTTTCCAATAACTTCTGTGCGTCTTAATAATCTGAAATTTTGCATATGAATAGAGAACCTATGACAATACAAGAATTATATGACCATAACCTAATTTTACGCATGATCATCGCAGCTCGTAACCAAACCCTGTTATTGGAGTGTTCATCATAATCATCATTACAGCCCTTCACAAGTCCACTGCTGAACATAGGCCTCCCCCAACGTATGCCACAAAGCACGGTCATGAGCCAACTGCATCCATCGACTTCCTGCATGTCTTACCAGGTCGTCACTCCATCTAGTGGGGGGTCGACCTACACTTCACCTACCAGTACGAGGCTGCCACTCGGGAACCTTTTATCCCCAACGGTTGTCGATTCTTCGAGCTATATGGCCAGCCCATTGCCACTTCAGCTTACTAATCCGTTGGGCTATGTCGGTCACTCTGGTTCTACCGCGGATATCTTTATTTTAAGTTTATCACGCAAAGAAACTCCGAGCATAGCCCTCTCCATAGCTCGCTGAGTGACTTTGAGCGTCCTCATACGGCCAGCAGTGAAGGACCACGTCTCGGTTCCGTAGATTATCACTAGCAACACGCACTGGTTTTACAACTTAGTTTTCAGGTTTTGAGGTATACCTGACGAGAATATGCGTCGTAATTTCCCGAACGCTGCCTAGCTGAGTTGAATCCGTCGATTGACCTCTCGATCGAAGTTGGACTTACCTAGTTGGACTATTTGTCCCAGGTAAACGTACTCGTCAACAAGTTCGAGCTTAGTGCTCCCAACAACTACCGGCATAGGTGTGACATGGACTTTAAACATGATCGTTGTTTTGTCCATGTTCATCTTAAGACCTATTCTTTGGGAGGCACTATTGAGGTCATTGAGCATAGTGCTTAAATCCTCCAGCGATTCTGCCATAAGGACTTTATCGTCGGCAAATCGAAGGTGAGTGATTTACTCGTCATTGATGTTAATACCGTATCCTTTCCAGTCCAGTAGCTTGAAAACGTCTTCCAATGCAAAGGTGAAACGTTTCGGGGAAATAACGTCACCCTGTCTTACACCTCTCTGCAGTTGGATAGGTTTCGTACTCTGGTTCTGCACTCGGATAGCCATCGTAGCCCTACTGTACAAACACTTCAGTATACCGAAAGTCAACTTGGCACCGCTGAAGAGACTGTAGCACCGTCCAAATTTCGACGGAATCAAAGGCTTTCTCATAGTCCACATACGCCAGGCAAAGTGGCAGATTGTACTCTTCGGATTTCTGTACAATTTGCCAAAGGGTATGTACGTGGTATATGGTACTAAAGCCTTTCCGGAAACCGGCTTGTTCGGGAGGCTGGAAGTCGTCGAGTTTGCGTGCGAAACGATTCGTAATGACTCTCGAAAACAGCACGTGGACGCGGCTCAGAAGGGATATCGGTCTGTAGTTCTTCAAGAGGGCGTTGTCACCTTCCTTGAAGCACAAGACCACCGCACTTCTTGTCCAAGCCTCCGGAGTAGTGCCACCATTAGAGTGTTATTCAACTGTTAATGTTATTAAACAAAGTTCTATCACAATCCCAATATACTATTAGTTAATTACAATTCGCTTTGTGGTGATGGTGCCTTTGGGTATGTCACTAGACAAACTATCATCCTGATATATCCATGAAATGAGATGCATCTCGTGGATATATCAGGTACAATCGACATTATATGAAAAAAGCCCAGAAAATCTTGTGACCACCGATCAATGACGGTACCATCATTTTGTATCTACACTTGATATAAAATGTATTTGGGAAATTTCATAAGATCTTTCCAGCACCCATACCATACCCTGAAGAAGAAAGTGTTTGTGTGAATAGAAAAATGTATCAGTGCGAGTCACGTTTTTTCTAATAAATTGAATAACTTGTAAAAATATTATTGCAGGTGGCGAATTATGTCATATCTATTTTAGCATGTCTATTCTATTTTCTGTGATGTTAGTGCTGTTAGCCTATACGTCTCTTATTGCTTCATTTAACTTAAGGCGAGCTGATTAAAAAAAGAAAGGTTATGATGATGAGGACGAAGATGGTGGTGAGTGTTTATGATTTGGTATTATAACCAATCATCATGTCGCCTCTGTGGTGGTTTCTGAGCTATCTAACCCCTGTCCGAGTGGGGGAGTGCGGACCCCCACCTTTGACTGTTTAAAATTTGGTTTGTTTATTTAAATCTCAACTAAACTTGACACTATAGATAGCTATATGTAGCGATATACGTATTTTCAACTTGAATAATGCTCATATCATTTTACTTACTTTTAATGTATATAAATAAATAAATTCTATCATATTTATCTTTATGTATATAATCGTTCGTGTAACTTCTGAACATCTTAACAGATTCATGCCATATTCTAGGATGCTATATGTCACTATGCTAAGATGAAACGTCACTGTATTCAATTAACAAATTTAATATTTTTAAACCCATTTTAGTGTAAACGAGGCATTATTACATCTTAATACTTAGGGGTAGGTACCAACGAATTTGCATTTTGATTCTTAATCGAGGTTAATATAGATGTCTATGGGCCACAGCATCAACTTACTATCAGGTGAACTCTGTGCTCGTTATAGTATTTGGTTTAATACCAAAAAATCACTAAACCTGGACCCGATAGGTAACGCTGTGATCGAGTTATTTATAAGTTTAATGCTTCTCCTATAAAAAGTTCAGAGCGAATTCGGAGTGAAACTCATCGTGCATACCTTTCAGAACAACGCCTGCATAACCTGCTAGTTTATTAAAAATCGTTGATACATCTTTGTGTAACTAACTACTGACCAATTGAGGTCATATTCACGGAATACATTTTTTGTTTTGTCGAGACTCGAGATGATGGCTTCTTAACTACATATACTAGGATCCGATAGGTAGCGCTGTAGTCAAATTATTAACAAAGTATATTTTTATGGACTAAAATTACTCATAATCAGTACATATGTACTGATTATGAGTAA